CCTGAGCAGAGGACCTAGTTTAGTCGTGCCTGGGCTCCTGAACACAGAAACTGCGAGATAATAAATATGTGTTGTTTTAAGTTGCCAAGTTTGAAGTAATATTGTTGCAAAGCAGTAAATAAATAATACAAATGGATTACATACACAAAGAATGGAATATAAAACTCAATAGATCTATAATATATATTCCAAATATATACATTCGGATATGCCTCTTGAACTCCAGAATGGAATATGTACACTGATTAATAACTGTATTTAGATATCCAACAGATCTTAAATTCATTCATTTATTCAATCAACGGAGGTATTAAAAATATTATCCACCAAATTTAAGTTATCACCCCCTTAGACCCACAGCTTCTCCCAAACAATCATGCTTCAAACTTTTAAAATCTATCTTCTCTACAACTATATGTGGTAGTGCAAAATCTCATTTTTTCTTTATCACTGCAGCAGCCTCCTCGCTGTTTCTTTCTGGGTCCAGTCGTGCCTTTCTTTAAAGCCATTCTCTATGTAGAAGCCCAAGTGATCTTTCTAAAGTGCAAGTACAATCATGACATTTTTCTTATTTGAAACCCTTCAAGGATTCTCCATTTCTCTTATGGAAAATACCAAGGTCTCTGCCAAAGTGTATAAGGGCTTACTCCTGCTTCCTTCTACCGCCCAATCTTTCAGCACTGCCACTCTCTGTGATACCCCCTGCCACAGTGCACAACCTCTCCAGCCCCTTCTGCCTGAAACACAAGTACTGTGCCGTTGCTTCTTCCATAGTCTAACTCCCTCAAATCTTAGCTTAGGCTTCAGGAAACTTTCCTTAACCTTCTATATCCACCTGTAAGACTAGACAACATGCCCCTCCCATATGCTCCCTTATAGCTGGCACTCAGTTATACCCTAAGACTATTTGTTTAGCCACTTTTTTTTTTTTTTTTTTTTTTTTGAGACAAAGCCTCACTCTGTCGCCCAGGCTGGAGTGTAATGGTGTGATCTCAACTCACTGCAACCTGCACCTCCTGGGTTAAAGTGATTCCCCTTCCTCGGCCTCCTGAGTGGCTGGGATTACAGGTGCCCACCACCACGCCCAGCTAATTTTTGTATTTTTAGTATAGACAACGTTTCACCATGTTGGTCAGGCTGGTTTCGAACTCCTGACTTCAGGTGATCCGCCTGCCTCGGCCTCCCAAAGTGCAGGCATTAAAGGCGTGAGCCACCACGCCCAGCCTAACCCACATTCTTTACCATAACTTCAGCTTATTTTGAGCAAGCATAGTGTCTAAATCATAGTTCTACTCCCAGGACCTAGTATACAGTATGGCAAATAGTAGATATACATTAAACATTTGTTGAGTAAGTAAAAAAGCAGAGAAGTAAGCTAGTTTATATTGGTAGTAATATTGGCAGTTGAGAAACAGATTTCTTTACTGATTTCCTACCTAACTCACTAAACTCAAATTTTATGCAGCACCATTTGCAGAAAAGGTTTCATTTTAATATTGCAAAATTAAAGCATAACAGTTTCTATTTTAAAATCTAGAAATGGCCAAAAGATCTTTTAAGAAAATGTAGTGAAGAATTTGGAAGATAAAAGATTTTGGTTGACCTTGTATTGAAAAAAGATAATTGAAAAGATAATGTATTTAAAATGGCTTATCACAGTTCCTGGCACAGACTAAGTCCTCAATGGTGTTAATCGAACTTAATTGTCTCTCCATGCTCCTCAAACACTGATTTTTCCAAATTTGCCTATTCTCTCTACTTCCCTATTTTGCAAAAGGGAAGGTAATAAAACCCACTTGCCATGTACGCACACAAAGAAGAAGGCATGGCCAAACACAGAGACATAGCCCTGTTTAGTTTAATGTTAAATCTGAAAAATGGAGCAAATGGAAATCGTTTTTATTCAAGTAAATATAGGCTATGTTTTAGAAGCTTGGTCCAGAGGAGTTAGTGTAAATTTCTGTCATTTGGGTAAAACAGCCCCTCTTAGAACCAGGTTGAACAATGGCTAGCTTTGGCAGGGACAATGTAAACCAATAATAAGAACAATTAAGGTTGTAATCAACTTTAGAAGGCCAACTAGAGGATTACTTGCCAGAGAGGAAACATACATGCGACTTTACTTGGATGCCACAGTGTTTACACGCAGTGACACTTTCGCAGAAAGAGATCGCAGTTCAGGAAGATCAGCACTAGTACTTCTGTTGTGTGTGTGTGTGTGTGTGTGTGTGTCTGTGTGTGTGTATGCATGGCTGGTGGACATTTTATCATACAAGACATAGTCAAGGCAAACAAATACAAATACCATTAGAAGATGAGAAAGAGAAGATACAGAAACAAAGATTTTATTTTTCTGTGCAAATATGTAAAAGCCATAGTCACACACATGCACTTGAAAATACAGAAGAACAAAAAGAAAAGGGAAAACATTTTTTAAAGTCAGATACCTCATGACAACAAGACATTTGGAAAACAGAAAAGCAACTGACAATTACAGCGACACCAGAGGCCTCAGAATTGTGCAGAGAAAGAAATTGTGAGTGAATATTTCTTAACCATATTTGGTAGAGAACATATTACATTTGGAACAGCCTGTAAGTGCGTAAGTACAGATATGTCTCGAAGGGAGTAAATGTGAAAACTATACATTTGGTCTTTGACTATAATCTATTTTATGCTTATTGCAAATACTTGTGAATGCAAATATTGACGGGAAGGTTTTCCCTATGTCTTTTGTCACAAAATTTAACTTTGGAACAAATCATCTGAAGCAGCGGCATCACACATGCAGTCTTGGATGTGAAGAAAATGGATGAGTAAAAAGGAAAATCTTCACAATTAGTAGCTCCCAGTTTGAAATGATTGCCACTACTCCAAAAGATATGAATTTGCTATATAAAAATTGTCTATTACTATCACAAGACAGAATACATTTTCTTTGCTTTTGTAGTATATTACTTCATACTATATGCTACATGTACTCTATAACAAGGATATTATTTTGTTCTTGTTTGTTTGAATGGTATATTTAAATTTACCTTGGTCATTACCACAGAAAAACAACTTTCTTAACTGGGACTAAATAGATGTCATCCAAAGGATAAATTGTCCTCACGTTTTCAAACCAGGACAGCTCCTAAAGTCATAGACATATTTACAAAATGACATTTGGCAGGCCATTGTTATTTTAGTTGCTTTCTGAATTAATTCATAGGATCAAACTATTTTTCTTTTAAATGAACACAAATAACATCTTCTTTAGAAGGGTGTATCTACACAAAGATATTTAGCATAAATGATAACATACTGGTGGAAACAATGAAAACATTAACAAAGTTTTAAAATATTATTATTTTATAATCTCTGAAATCTTTATAATAAAGAATATATTAATTTTTGCATATCTTATTAATTTACTTTATAGATCCGTCATTTCAGGTATACATTTATTTTTAAAAATCATAATGTCAAATATATTTTGGTTATGATGTATACTATGCTTTCATATTTTTTTCAGAAAGATACTTAAGAAAATAAATTTACTTGCAAATCTTAGAAAACCATGCCTCTAAGAAAATTCAAGTTTTACAATATATACTTTTAAATTTATGTATAAAGTACAGTTCTTATTTTTATTAAATATTCATTGAAAAGCAACTGAAATTAGTCCATGTGATAGAAAAGTCAAGGAGCTCATAAATTTAGAAACAATTAACAAAAAAATTGTTCTATTTGTTAGGAAAAGGGAAAGTATTGCAGGAAAAGAAATAGAGAAAGGATTATTTGTAACTTTGTTAGAGGGACAGTTATGGAATCCAAAATTATACCAGTGTGGTATAATTTGAGTACTGATACTAGATAATTGTTTTTCTACAATTTTAGGGACTTGATGTAAATTCCTGAGTTCTCTCTCTATACATTTATCACATATCAGAGAACTGGTAACAATTCACTTGAATAACTTCATGTAAAAACATAGATGGATATAATCAGTAATAATCAGTAATTCTCTTTTTTTTTTTTCCCTAGACGGCATCTCACTCTGTCGCCCAGGCTGGAATGCAGGGGTGCAATCTTGACTCATTGCAACACCTGCCTCCCAGGTTCAAGCAATTCTCCCTCTTCACCTTCCTGAATAGCTGGGATTACAGGCACGTGCCACCACTCCCAGTTAATTTTTGTGTTTTTAGTAGAGACGGGGTTTTGCCATGTTGGCCAGGCTGGTCTCAAACTCATGGCCTCAGGTGTTCTGCCCACCTTGGCTTTCCATAGTGCTGGGATTATAGGAGTGAGCCACCACACCTGGCCTGTAATTCTCAATTTTTGTGTCATAAATAATAGATAAGACTGAAAGAACAGAAGTGAAAATAGAATCATAGTGATTGAGGGCAACTTACAATGTGAAAATAAATGTACCCAGAAATAGAGTGGGAAGAAATTGCAGTGGTCATTCATGTATAGAAGTGTTAAGGAGATATTTCTAGTTATATTAAGAACACTATTTTCATATTCAAAGCTAGAATAGGAAAATACTTCTTTATTATACTTTAAGTTCTAGGGTACATGTGCACAATGTGCAGGTTTATTACATATGTATACATGTGCCATATTTGTGGGCTGCACCTATTAACTCGTCATTTACATTAGGTATATCTCCTAATGTTATCCCTTCCTCCTCCCCCCACCCCACGACAGGCCCCGGTGTGTGATGTTCCCCACCCTGTGTCCAAGTGTTCTCATACAGACAAAGTACTTCTGATATGTTTAAAATAAGCCTTGAATTTATTTTAATTATTGAGATAGTTTTTATTTCCATTTTTTCCCCCAGAGATCTAAAACTAATCAAGGCATTTTTTGAAATTCAATGGCTTTTTTTTTCAACTGGGAATGTTCAAATATATGTTAATAATCTTCCTGTTCACCCCACTCAACAACTGGCTCGTCATTCATGCGCAAAATGAGGTAAGAAAGAAGCTGAAAAAGGTTCTGCCAGAATAAGAGAGAGACATAAAAGGAGAGGTCGCTTACGTCCACCTCGCAGCGCTCGCCAGCAAAGGCAACATCACAGAGGCACTGGAATTTGTTGAGTAAGTCCTGGCACAGTCCTCCATTGACACACGGATCAGAGGCACACTCATCAATGTCCTTTTCACACCTTCAAAATAAACAGAACAACAGAAACCCAGGTCCCTGTTGAATAAATTGGTTGTGAAATGGGAAGAAAAGTTTGCCTTATCTATCGGGAATAGCATAGTCTTGTCTACCCATCCACACGTACTTTATATATACTTGATAATGTCGGAGATGTTTCTTAAAATTTCTTTAACACATTTGGGGTTTAATGGAAATAATTTGTACACATATGTATACATATACACATGGAATTAATTAAAATGAGAAAATAGATGCAAATATTTAGAAACCAAGAGAAAAGTGGGCCATGCATACACCAGTGTCACGCTCAAGAACATTAGTGGGGTTGCCACCTTATATAAATGTTCACTTTATTAGGCGCACAAGGAGAGAGGCTGTATTTTGCCATCTGGAGTCTGCAGGGCAAGCCTACATTCAGGCTATCAGGATCCTCAAGCATCAGAGCTCTCAGGCTAAGGGAAAAGCCCACCAAAGAGAAACAAAACAACAACAACAACAACAAAACAGAAGAAGAAAATGAAGGAGGAGGAGGAGGAGGAGGGGGGGGGGTTTATTCTGAGATTTTTGAATTATTTTCCATGGAAATCCTTTTTTTTCTAACAAAAGCAAAAATTGATAATTAGAAGATTGTACTTGCTAATAAATCTGTGTTCCAACAGCCAAGCATAATTTCTAAAATGTTGAGGCAGAATGACTTTCAAAAGCCAAATTTTCCAAGACAAGTGACATCAATTCTCAGGTAAATTGAAGTTTTCTTCTTCCTGGGACGTTGTCATTTTTTAACCTAATTTTCCATGAAGAATTTGTTTTTCTGTATATTCATGGATTAAGCCACCAATCATGTATTCAGTCACTCAGTGGATATTTATTTAACACATACTATGTGACAAACACTCTGCTAAGACCTTGGGATAGAACAGTAACTAAAGCGGCTATTTTACTTTTGAAAATTTGTATAAAATCTTAGCTCTAAGATCTCTACAGTGCAGCTTATAATGTTGAAATTTGATGTAAACAATTTTTAATTTTCCCTTATTCTTTCCCTCACCTTCCAAAATGTAAAACTTGCACGTATGGGCCAGAGACTAATCACTAGGCTCCAAATGAAAGGGGATGAGGTAGTGGGGCAAGGCCAGCCCAAGGTATAAAGGAAAACAAAGATTTCTTCCAAGAAAAACACCTCCTTATCCCGTTGGATACCAAGCATAGCTGAGACATTTTGTTTTCCTTTTTTGGCTTATGCTTCTGGACTGGAGGGAGACTTCTCTGATTAGATCTGAGCAAAACTTGACAACTCTCAGAAGCCTGCCAAGCATTCTCGGTCTTGGGTGGGCCAGAGTGTTCACATCATCCATCATTCAAAACCTGTCAGGATGACACTAATTTGGAGGTTTAATCAAGGCAGGAGAGAAGCCAATTTATTTGAGGATAGCTTTTCAATATCCTTGGACGCAATGGAAGTCACATTTCCCTAGGCCATGGGAGATAGCCCACGATTTTCTATTTTCCTCTAACTACTCCATCACTTTCTCACCTATTTTTCTGTTGAAACAGCCAACAATAGATACACATGTATTATCAGCATCATTGTCGTTTTCATTAGAGGTTAATTAATGCATGGAAAGTAAAAATAAATCTATTAACATCCAGTCAATTAAGTAATGATGGTGAAGGACTTTGAAAGCATAGAATCTACTGAACACAGGTTCAATGTTTTAGAAATATCTAGCGTCATGTAAGTTTTTCCAGTAGAAAAGTCTCCTGGGAAAATAAGGAAAACTCTAAGCTTTCTTTTCTTTCTATGTTTCAAATATATTTGAATCTAAATGCCAAATATAAATTTTGTAAACTAATAAATATCAGAGGACACTGAAATGTTTGTTGTAAATAGAAACAATGTGTGAGTGGCAGAGAAAAATAGTCCAAGGTTTTGGATGAGTTCTATGCATTGTGCCATTAGGCAGAAACTGTGATGTCCAACCAGGAAGCAACCCGCACTTGACAATAGTGGAATTACTCAGAATTAATGACAAGAAAATATTTGCAATATTTTGAAAGATACATGGAATTGGAATACAACTGAATGGTCTCAGTTAATAAGTTGCAGAACCAAAACTGGTGCAACAGAAAGCAGAATGTGACTCAAGGCTATCTCCTTCCACGCACATATAGACTTGGAATGCCTGTACCACACAGAACCAACCACAGAAGGTAGGCTGCAAATAAAAGAGAACGTTGGAAGGGTAAAATGCAGGTGCACCCTGGACTCCCCGCTGTTTTGTAAAGGTGGCAAAAGATCTGTATCTTTGTGATGCAAAAGAGGCCAGCTAAAAACCAGAAAATTCAAGTTAATCCAGAGGGCACTTGCCAGAGAGCACTCACATGTCCATTATTTTATTAACTATGCTTATGGGAAATATTGATTCAGTCAAAATATCTTTGTCAAATACGTCTGAGCTTAGTTTATTTGATTTTTTTAAATGTAGGAAGTTTGATCAGAGACCACTGTGTCTTACCCTGGATGACACATGAGATGGAAGAACATCTTTCTCATTAAAAAAAAAAAAAAAGTGGTGAGCAAAGATTTATTTATACAGTTATGCTGGCACATCAAATAGAAGAGCAAAGGCTTTGAAGGCAGCTCAACCTTACTGCAGCATACATGTGGATAGGCCCTTCATACATCACTTAACCTCTCAGCCTCAGTTTACACATATGCAAAATAAAAATCATAAAACTTTCCTTACAGAGCTATAAGAATTAGAGACAGGATTTGTAAGGTGCATGGCACAGGTTAACTATTTATTATCTGCTTATATAGTATCTGTATTTTATAGAGCCCTGGTTCATAACTGTTTTGGGGACATACATCCCTTTGAGCAGCTGATAAAAGCTATTCAGTATGCATTCTTTCTACCCCTGAACCTACTCCTAGCCACTTAAATACATATTCTAATTTTCCTGTATTTTCAGCAGGTCACAGATTGCCTGAAGCCATTGACCAACTCCATTTTAAGAATTCCTGTATGAGGTGAAGCGTTGAAGAATTTCTCTGGGAAAAGTAGAATCATATGGATAAGGTATATATACTTTTGGGTTGTAGGCAATTCTACGAGCCAATCTTTTAGTTGTAATTTATTTTACTTCTACAGCAACCGTATTTGCATCATGTATTAGAGTTAGTAACAAAAAAAGAGACATGAATTCAGAAGTACTTACAAGAAAAAAAAATAGCACATTATACATTTTTTAAAAAACATTTTCCCTATTTGAAGTTTTGTCTAATAAAATGTTCTCTCCTTTGACCTAAACTGTAGTTTTTCTTCTTTTTTATTGTTTCACTCTGTGTGAACCTCTGTTTCAGCATGGATTTTCCTATGGGAACTGAGATAAAAAATTAGAGGAGAAAATGAACTTTGAGTAATCCCATCATTCTTTAGCCCAGAGTTCTCTTCCAGAAAGCTCTAATGTGACTCACCGTTCTCCAGTAAAACCTGGCCGGCATATACATTTTAATTCAGCCTGGAACTCCGTGCAGTTGCCTCCATTGTAGCAAGTGAGATTTGTCTCCTCATTCCCACAGACTGTTGAGGGTAATGTGCTCTGTCTAGAGAGATAAAAAGCAACAGCCACAGCTGTTCATCTTGTTCATCTCATTCAAGAAAACTTTTTTGATAAATTCATCTATGTAGTCAGTGCCAAGCTAATTAAGTACTCAGGCTGGAGGAGCTACAAATGCTTAATTGTGCTGCATTATACAAGAATCGCTTTCTCCAGTAAAAAGCTCCTGCTGGAGGGTTCTATGACAAGCATGGCTATACATCTTCCATTTCTACACAGTTTTCATTTGTGAGATAAGATCTATGCCATGGGGTGGCAATAAATTTTGGGTTGGAAAAGAACTTGCTATAACTAGATTTGCTGCTGCTTTGCTAATAAATCAATAAAGGCCATAAGAAAATTGCATCTCTACAAAGGCCAGGAAAGCAAGGACAGCACTCTAGTACCCAAGCACTCATGTGATTTCTCTATTGGCTTTCAGAGCTGAACTCCAGTTGCCCTGCCAAGACTTGCTGCTCCCTATGTAATAATTCATAGCTTCGAAGAATGCAAGCCAAATGCTGTCCAGGAGCTTTGTATATAGTACACGATGGTAACTGCATGTGAATTCAGAGTGTGGCTCTCTGGTATGGCAACAAAGCTTTACGTGTTAAAGAATCCTTATAAAAGGTGGAACAAGTATTAGAAGCTAAGCAGAACTTCACTGTAAGACAAAATCTAGTAGTGTGAAGGGACTGATGTTTAAAAAGAATTTAATAGTGTTGCTTAGGCCCTTTGACCCACTGTGTACGTGCATGGCATCAGATAACTAATAAATATTCAGGAAGTGTAAAATGAATTGAATTTTGCCCCTGTTGTGTGTGCTGCAGCTAATGTGGATAGACTAGCTAATATGATGCTAAGTGTGTCTCTTCCCACAAGAGCTAATCAATTCTACTTTAAAAAGAAGATATCATAAAGACTTTTCAAAAGAGTAAAAAATGTCAACCAGCTTTGAAAGAGGTCAATTAGCAATGCAAATATGAAGCTTTGTATACATCTTGGTTTTAATAAACAATTCCTGAATCTCATTAGAAGGTACTTTTGAGGGCTTTCGTCTTTCAGAACTTGACTTTGATGAATTAGGCAGAAAAGAATTCTAGAGAACTACTTACTAGGGCCTATGTGTTTATTTTACTCATCAAAATTCACAGTGAAATGTACTGAATTTGATCCTGAATTCTTCTTGCTTTTAAACAGGCAGGTTACCTGTTGGGAACACTTAGCACCTATAACGGTGCCTTGCTTTCTCAGGCTCAGAACAACAGTAACTGTTAGGGAGAGATGTACAACTTCGCATAGGCATGCCTACATGTTATGTTTGCCAGGAGATTCATGCAATTAAGGTACCACCTCTGAATTAGTGTAATGTCTACAGGCTGCCAACCCATTCCAGGTGTTCTTGCCGAAGTTCTGGAATGTATTACTTGTTAATAATAACCCTCTCACCTCCCCATAATGACTCAATTATTTAGTAAATTTAAAGCGGTGTAAGTTGTAAAAACAATAATAACTTCTTACATGGAAATACTGAAGCAATGTGACTTAGAAGAAAAATACTCTTTCTTATCTCTGTTTATATAGCCTGAAATGGAGGTGGTTACAAGAACTAAAATACTGCTTTTGTAGTTGTAGAAAAATGTGAAATACTTTGAAATGGGCAAAGAATATCACTGCGTATTCTTTCAATGCAATACTGGGTTTATATAAAGGACCATCTAGGATTATCCACTTTTGCAGTGGTCTGCGCCTTATATTTTCTTCGCTAAGCTATATTACAATTCTGTAAGTTGTAAAAAACAACATTAATATGAAAATCTTGTTTATCAAAATGCAAATTAATTTATCTGTAGTGAGCCGTATAACTGATTATCACACTATAGAAAAGATGACTTCAAATACTAGTTTTCTTGCCCTATGGGATATTAAACAGTTTTGTATTTATTAGTAAATTCATTCACTCATTTTTGTTTGTATATATACATATACATATTCTTTAGATTGTCCTTTGAATTAGTTTTTATATCTTACTAGTTTCCTCAATAATTAATGACAAAATAATTGAAACATATTTATTTTATATTTGAGAATTACAATACCACTGTTTTGAAATTACAGTTGACCCTTGAACAACACATGTTTGAATGGTGTGAATTCACTTATATGTGGATTTTCTTTCACCTCTGCCACCACTGAGACAGCAAGACCAACCCCTTCTCTTCCTCTTTATCCTAATCAACATGAAGACAATGAGGATAAAGATCCTTGACCATCAATTTCCGCTAATGAATAGTAAATATGTTTTCTCTTTCCTATGATTCTCTTAATAACACTTTATTTTCTCTAGCTTGCTTTATGGTAAGAAGACAGAAGAATATGACACACAAAATATGTGTTAATTGACTATGTTATTGTTAAGGTTTCTGGTCAACCAGGCTGATAGTTACGTTTCGGGAGAGTTAAAAGTTAAATGTGGATTTTCAACTACACGTCGGCACCTCTAACCCCTGCATTGCTCAAGGGTCAGTTGTATACTTTAATGTACTCTTTTCGGGATTTTATAGTATTTACCTGCCTGAAATAGCCCAGGGCATTATTTTAGCAACAGAAGTCACGCCTTCCCTAACAATACTACATTTCAGCTTTTGCACTTATTGTAAATGTATTTGTTTCCCAAGGCCTTGAAGCTGTCAGACCCTGGGGCTACAGTTCATGAGACACATTTTCACACAGATGACTGAGAAAATATTTTGCTGAAAGTCTAACTTAAACACTACCTTTCTGACTTGTAGAATATCATAGTGTGTGAGATCCTGTCTTAACAGGAGCAAGTTGTGATGGAAGTGACCAGTGTTAGCCCTGTTCAGCACAGTATATATGTATACCTCGAGGAGACAGCATTCCAATTTGACAAGAACAGTGATGCAGAGTACAGCTTCAAAGACCAAGCTTCATATGGACTTTATGCTCACCTGCAAAATTTTCCTGTAAAATTTCCAAAACAGAGGCAAGAATAGCCATTAGTATCACTAATGCAGGTGGCTCCATTTGCACACTGGTGACTCTGGCAATTGTCTATATCCACTTCACAGTTCCCACCAGTGTATCCAGGCTCACATGTGCAGTGGTAGGCTGCAACTCTGTCAGAGCAGTTGCCATGGATACAGGGATTTGAGAAGCATTCATCAGTGTTGAGTTCACAGTGTTTCCCTGACCATCCCAAGGGACAGGAGCAATGATAAGAGCTATAGATGTCTTCACAGTTTCCTCCATGCAAGCAGGGGTTGGAGTTGCAGACACTTAATTGCAAACACCCAGTGACCACTGAATTGGTAGAGATTTTGAGAAATTGCTCTTCCTGAGGTTTATTAGTGAAACCATGAACATTTTCAAAGTAAGAGAGATAAATGCCTCCGATTTCTATTGTACTTAGACACCCTTGCAGGCCCTTTATATTGTCAATAGCTCCATCACCCACATAAATATCTGTATTATCCTTCAAAAAGTTGAGGCTTCCAGTAGCAATTGTGCTGGTCACAAATGGTGTTTGGTTGTCCACTTCCATTTGCCACCTGGAGGTCTGGGACATTGGGTCTGTCATGGAAAGAGTCACTTCATGCCACATGCCATCATTCACTGACTGCAAACTTGTCAGACTTAGCATATAAAAGCTGTTGCCACTTTGCAATTGAAAGAATAATCTGGAATCTTGAATGCTAATATTAAGAAATTCAGGCTCTTTTTCTGCATGCAATATTATTACATTTGCATCCCTTGTTCTGAAACCGAATGTGATATTGGTGAGTTCTCTGGTAATATTCCCATTGCTTCTGAACAATATTTGACTGCTTTGTCCATTAAAAACAGCATTTGCAATACCTAATGAGACAAGACGATAATAATCAGCAACTTTATTAAATCTATAGTTTGCTTCATTACCTTTATTAATAGTAATGATCATCGTGTTAATAACATTGCACATTGACTATCTGATACATGTTACATACTGTGCTGGTTGCTTTTATATTATTCCTAATATCAAACTTTTGAATACAGGTATTATTATTAACCCCATTTTATGGAAGAAGAAGTTGAGACTCACAGAATTTAAGTAATTTTGCTCATGGTCATGTAATTAATAAATAAGAAAGCCAGAATGTCAAACCTGGATGGTTTGGTAGCAAAACCAAAACTATACATTTCCAGTGAAATCCTAACGCATGCCAATTTTTATTTTGCATTTGCTCCCACAAATAAAGCATTGATAATTCATTTTACACATAAATAAATTGAGCCAAAAGAAATCGCAAATCTAGCTTGGTGACACAGAAAATTAACCGTGGAGTCTGGCTTCTGATTAAGCTGAAGAGTAGGCAGTTAAAAGTCGCATTTCAAGTGACTGATTTACTTACCTGGTAAAACTCCAGTTATTTAACAAGCTGCAAATTCTGTATCTACACCCAAGTACTTTCATATACAACCATATCAATTGCTCTCCCACTATATATGAGCACAGCACTTTGGGCAATCCTATTGCATTTCTCTATTACAAACTTTTTCCCCATACTGCAAGACGATTAGCGAGCAACTTGTTCTCTCTCTTAAAATATCGAATTCTATCTCAGCTTATGATCTCACATAATATTTTCTTGAGAAAACAGAGCTACCTCAGATATCCATCAAATCTGTAAACCCAGTATTATTTGGATCCACACTGTATTCTATCCTGCTGTAATAGATGAACTGTCTGTATTCCCACCAATGTCAACTCTACCAGTTATGCCCTGGGTCCTACTGATTTTCACCTTTTAAACATATTATTTCTCTATGCAATCTTTTTCTTTCCTTCATAATCATTTCCCCTTCCATTTTGCTGTTTCCCATCGATATACAAATATGTGCAATTGCTTTAATCTTAAAAAATAAAAATACATGCAAAACAGTACCCTGACGTCCCCCAATCCTGCTGCTTTTTTGTCGATTTTCTTTACCAGCAAAACTTCTAATAGTTTTATATCCCCATTGTCTCATTTTATCATTCCTCATTTTCTCTTTTATATATGCCACTCAAGCTTTTGTCCCAGTCACTTCACTAAAACCACTTTCATGGTTACAATGAATGACCTCCACGCTACTCAATGCAGTGGCCAATTATCTATTCTTATTGTGTCACACTTTTCAGTAGCAAATGACCTGAAAACACTATGATTACATTATCAGGCGCTACACCCAACCACCATCATCTTTCATTAAGACTAATTACTTCTTAGTGTCCCTGCTTCTGCTGCTCTGCAGATCAATATAACAACCACTCCTTAGTCAAACTCCATTAGTTAGCATCACATCTAAAAAGAAATCCTAAACATAACCACAAGAGTGTACATGATCTGAGTCAGTTGTGGGTGTAATCTCAGCTATCTGGGAGGCTGAGAAGGGTAGATAGCTTGAAGTCAGCAGTTTGAGACCATCCTGGACAACATAATAAGACCATGTCTCTCTTTTAAAGAAAAAAATTTCATGACAAGATTCTGTCATGTTAAAAAAAAAAGCGTCTACATAATCTGACCTCTGATTAACTCTCCAATTCCAATTCCTACCACTGTCTTTCTCATTAACATGCCACAGCCACAGTTTTTCGCCATTCATTGAAGATACACCAAGCTTGTTCCCAACGCAGGCCTTCTACCCTTGCTGTTACTTATATCTGGAATACTATTTCCCCAGATCTTCTTATACTTGGCTCTTCTGAGTGTTAATATCTCCTCAAATGTCGCCTCCTCTGAGAAGCTTTCCCTGACTATCTGAGTTAAAAAAACTGCCTCCCTGCATTCACTGTCTATGCTTAATTTTCTTCATAGCTCCCATTACCACTTAAAATTATGTTTATTTGTTGACTTGTTCCTTGACTGTCTTTCTGCACTAGGACGTAAGCTTTATGAAACCAAGGATCTTCCCTGCCTAGGTTATCACTAAATCCCTATGCCTGTGCCTGTGTGTCCCTGATGTATAGTAGGTGCTCAGTAAACATAATTAAATGAATACTCTATGAAAATAACTCCATCCTGTATCCTGAAAAGTGAGATAATGATTAGAAACCACAGCAGGAGAAAATTTCAGTGTATCATTCAAGTGTATTATTTGACTTAATTAAATAAGTCAATTACCTTGATCTTACTGTTTTTTACTCTGTGTGTGTGTGTGTGTGTGTGTGTGTGTGTGTGTTCAATCAGTTTTGGAGTTGGGAATTTAGGGAAAAAAAGAGCAACAAGTGTTTCATTACATGTTTTTAAGTAAATGTTAAAATGAAAAAATCTCATTAATTCTCCAACTCTGAAATGAAGACTATGGTCTATAATGCTATATAAATATATTTATTAACTCTGCTGAGCACATTGAAATCATGTCTTCTGATCTGGGTAAAAACCACGATATACATAACCACTTTTGCACTTCGCCTTTTCTTTGGGGAACTTTGCCATAATAAACACACCTGTAATTAAGGTGATTGTAAATGTTTAAATCTTGGTACGATACGGAGATAGAGATGATTATAGTCCTAAAGGCAAACTCGGGGTAATGTATCAGCTGTACTCTCAAGAGTATCTTGTTCCATTAGACTTAATCTTTTCAATATATTTTCCTGGGAAAGAAAATATAATAGGGTCATAAGATCACATAAAATTAAAATTATATAGAGTAGTAAAAGTGAATTCTGGGTTAATAGCTATCAATTAGAAAATTGATTTATAATTCCTATTGTACACCTCCTATTTATTTATGTTTTCTCTCTTCACTAAGTTAAGCTATACTTTAAAAATGCTACTGGGACTTTTTGGGTGTGTCTGAGCTGGACTTACTACTGTTTTGCTATCGGCAATGTTGTAGCAGTAAAGGTTCACTTCACTTCTTTCTGACACGTTTGTCCAGCTCCTAAACTGCTTGATGTGTAGATTGCAGAGCAGTGTGCATCAGGGCTATTGTTTTGGGGCTGCTACTGTTTTTAGAAATCCTATTCCTTTTTCCTGTGAAAATATTCAAAACGATTCAGACACCAGGTAGAACACAGCTGAGACTAACAACTTTAGTATTTCTATCAAAAGATCAACAGTAAAACTAGTAATTAAGAAATTATTTTAGAATAATAGAAGAAGTAGAATAATGAAAAAGTATCATTTAAAATTTTGTGCCTCATTAAAAACCAATTTACATTCTTTATGCCAAGTCATCATGTTTTCTCTACATGTGTAGTACATATTTCTTAAATATGAAACATAAAAGTACACATATTTTTCTAGAAAACTTCCCCAAGTGTACATACAGTGTAATGTATTTCATACAGGTCTTTTAAATAATATGATTTTGAAGTATAGAAACATAAAAATAAATACATTTTTCTCTTTTTCTCAGTTACTTGGGGGCCCAGTCTAGATAGTATGTCATTGCTACTGACCTTAAGCCAAACTATCCTCTAGTTCCATTCCATTATATTAGTGCAGTATTTTTATTTTTATTATTATTATTTTTTGAGACAGGGTCTTATTTTATTGCCCAGGCTGGAGTGCAGTGGTGTGATCCTGGCTTACTGCAGACTCAAATTCTTGGGCTCAAGCAGTCCTCCCACTTCTGCCTCCTAAAGTGCTGGGATTATAGGCGTGCATCCAGCATCCTGCATGTATTTTTTTTTTATAGTAAGCAGATAATGTACTTAATGTCCACAGTAGTTAAGTGAAAATATTAAGCACATTTGAAGAAAATAATATCAATTTATTTAACAAATATTTACTAGCAAGAAACCACATAGAAAATTTTCTTGCCTTGTGAAGCTTATATTCTCATGATGAAAGAGATCATAGACAAATATATCAATGCACATGTAACAAAATATCAAGGAACAATAAGAGATATTAATAAAAACAAAGCCAAGTTGGAGGATGTTTGTATAGAAACCTAAATGAAGTGACAAAGGTGACCTGTGAATCTCTGGGTTAACAGAGTTCAGGAAGGAGGTGCTGGTGTGTGGGCCTGACAGTATGGTGTAAAAGAGAGAATGGAGTGATAATGTTGGAAGCATATTGCGGACAACACATTAGAGGGTTTTTCTTCTCCCTATTCTTTAAGGCAGAGAAATGGAATGGTAGCTGGTAGGAATAGGAGTGAGGGAGTGTCAAAGGAAATGTTTTGTAGTGATGGAAAAATTGATACTGGTGTGTGAGAGAAAATTTTAGGAGCACAATCTTTGAATAAGGGGAGGAAATTAGAATTCAGTGCAAACATAGAGGGTTGGCTATAGACTGGACTGTGCATTATTTGAAGTAGGTGAGAAGACAGAATATAAATAACAGTATAGTTAGTGGGTGGATGTGTCAAAATTGTGAATACTGTATAGTATTCAAATTGCTAACATTTGGAAAAGTGTGTTTTGTAATGCAGAAGATGGACAGGAAAACCTTTCACAATGAGGGAAAGTCTCATAGCAAACACTGAGTGCCTAACATGTTTATTTACACATAAGGTCACAGAATCATCACAAAGAAACTGAAAAAGTAGAAATTGTTCTCTCTATTTCACAGGTGAGGAAGCTTTAGATGATGGAGATCACATGAATTGCCTGAAGCCTCATAGTTAATAAATGACAATGTGTAACACGCACATATTTATTCTGTGTTCCCAGTAATGAGGGAAGGAAAGTCAAATATTACCTTGCTAATTCTTCTTTAGGAAATCAGCTTTAAATGATTAAGCATCTAGGTGTAGTGTTGCTCTGACCTCCATTTCCTATCCAGACACCCACCAAAGGCAGGATGAGGCAAGAGACCAGTCAGGTTTATTAGCCTACTCACATAGGGGAAACAACCATAGATTAATTTAATAAGCTGGCTTTGTCTATACTCTTTTTCTGTGTTTGCTCTTGGAACAACTCAGATGTCCCAATTTAACTGGCGAGATGATAGGTTTGAACTCTACCTACATTCAAATCCTTGAAGCAACGACTGGCACTGGGCTTCGTGAGGACACGGGCTGAATCCACACCACTGAACCTCCTCACAGGCTTTCCCACTTGTGTGGGCAGGACAGGAACAGGAGAAGTCATCCCACAGGGAATGGCAAACACCTCCATTGCGACAGGGGTTGGACTGAGCAGAAAAGAAATCAAAGGTATAAAAAGCACTGGCAAATAAATAGAAAAATGTTGAAGGTGAGACCACATACCTGTTATTTTTAAAATGCTAATTTCCCTGCATTTCTACATTTTAAACTTTTAATATCCATTGTTAACTAAATGGAATGAAAATGACTACTGCCATTACCAACTGCTTTCTAAAAGAGCAGAGTGGTGGCCGAGAGAGAAAAAAGATATAAAATTGATCTATAGCACAAGGAGGATTTTTTCAAGTATAGCAGCGTCCTCTGTAATTTACAAATTACCAGACACTTTTCACAAGCATTAATTATCATTTGAGGAAGGATTCTTACTCCTGGTTTTACAGATGATAAAAAGAAGGTGTTTCCAGTTGCCCAAGATCCTATACAGAAGCAAAACAGTGAAACTTGGTACCTAGGTCCTCTGGATCCCAACTCAGTGATTGCCCTTCCCACACTGATCTGCCTCTGAATCACAGACATAGTATTATTATTTGAGTTTTCACAAGCTTGCTCACAAAAAGTATTCAAAATGAAAGTATTTAAAAAGAAATTTATTAGAGCATGGACTGTGTTTGTCCCGGGTCTACTATTAACATATGATTTAGGCTAATTATATAACCTTTCTAAACTTCAGTTACTTCATCTGTAAATAACATAAACTGGGACAACAACAATGCCTGCTTTCCACTGTAGTCCTTCAGTAGAACTAAATGGATTAAGCCATGTAAAATACTGCCCAGTTCATTGAAAACGTTCCATAACAATGTTACAATAATTCATTTGTGTATATTTAGAACCAAGCTTAGTGGAGGGCCATAGTTGGAGCTCAACAAATGTTCAACACATAGAAATGCATTTCCTTTTTTCCCTTTGAAAGGTCATGCAGAGCTGACAAGTTCTTGTATTTAAGCAGCTCTTAGAAGAGTACATAGAATATTTAAAGTAAAGCATGGGCTTTGAGAAATTATATTTCAGAGGATTTCAACTACCAGAAGGAAATTACCTCTCAGATTTGTCTTGTTGTTGCTGACTTAAAAGTTCAAAACAATAGTAGCTGGGCATTTAAAATAGAGTTAACAATATCATCCAAAAAGAGTTAATTCAGTTAAACCTCTGGGGAGCCATTAGGAGTTTAGGAATTGAAATATTATTATACTTAAGTAATTTGATTTTATGAGGGTGAGAGAAGCCTATAGCTGAAGTTATTTTGGTTAATTAAATGGATCATGATGCCAATAAGATCAAGGCCACATTTCTATGCCTCAATGTAAATTTCACAGTCTTGCTGGAAAAATATAGATGAAATATCATTCTATGGTGGTGGGTAACATCATCTTTATATAGAAAGAATGGTTTTAATAAGTTATCTTTTTAATAAAATAAAAGTTTAACATATATTATATACTTAGTTTGTATCAGTAATCATTACCTTGCAGCTGTTGTCTCCAGGACAGCCTTGGGTTACATTGACAAGAACTGGTTTGAGAGATACATTATTTGTTGAATTTGGAAAGAATTCCAGATTTTGGTTGTTTAGTCTTACATCTTGGATACAGCCTTTGAAGAATCCACCATTAAGTTCAGTCTTCTGCTTGTCAGGTAGGCCACCAATGTAGATGACATCTCCCTTTTGGATTTTCCATGTAGAAGCAGAAATAAATCCTAGGTTTTGTGAAGATTGATACAGTTCAATTTTATTTGGCTTGATTTTCAAAGATATCAAGTGGACATTTCCATCATTAAGAACAAATTTTACTACTAATTTGGGAGAGTTTGGAGTCAGCATTGTTAGTCTGCCGTGCTCTAGCCAGACACGGATATATTGATAAGTGCTGTTTTCCAAAGCTAGAAGTAAGCCCGATGGTTGAAGTGTTCGGACAAACATGGAGAGGCTGACGGTGTCTCCATAGCTCTCATCAAGAGTAAAGACAACATATCCAGTGGAGTCATCCTGGCCAAATCTGCCTGCCACAAACTCTTCAAAATAGAGGAGGAGAAAAAAAGAAAAAGAAACATCTTAAGGCTCAAAAGACAGAAGGGATGGAGGATGAGAATTATACATTTCACAAACACACACACATGCACACACACATACACACTCATACACAACTTTTAAAGTTCAGGACAGGCTTACTCAATAGAATAATGACTTGGTCTCTTTCTGGACTTCTGAGTATACTTTATCCCTAAAATAACTATATTTTGGTTTATAGTTTACACTTGAGGCCCATTGATCACAAAACAAACCAAAAAGATCTCTGCACAGATAAACTAAAGAATCTTCCCTTCGCTGCCCTAAAATATAGGCCTTAATGGTGGTATATCAGACACTACTGTACTCCAACTTGGTGGAAGAAATTTTCGGACAAGAGGAATTCATGCAACCTCTGCAAGCAGACTGTGCAGGCAGTCATAATCTTTGCTACTTAGAGGCATGCTGAAGCAAATATGTAATTAAACCTAATTATTCTTTGTAAAGAAATTTATTAGAGCCTGGACTATATTTGTCCCAGGTCTGCTATTAACATGTGATTTAGGCTAGTTACATAACCTTTCTAAACTTCAGGTTTTTAATCTGTAAAGAACATAAATTGGGACAACAGAAATCAAGAATTAGATGAGTAAATCTTCTCTTGGGATGACATCTCACATAAGAGGCAGGGCAGTTGAGCAAGGAAAAAGAAGGACCCTTCCTTCTGTGGTCCTGGTTGGGTGTAGGAGAGGCACAGGAAACAGAGAAGTAGGGGCAAAGCTGAGTATGAAACCCACGCAGCATTTCCTGCGGTCAGAGGAATTACTGATGCTCATATGTGGCAATGCTATTGATGTGCATCGCCTCAAGAAAACTCTTGAGATATATAAAAATAAAAACTGACATTGTAAAATACGGGTGATATGGTAGGAAGAAAACTTCCCATCCTCACAAAGCTTACATTCTAGTTGGAGGAAAGACACCAGATACAGATAAGGAAGCAAACTGTATAATATGTCAGATGGTGAGAAATCCTTTAGTACAAAATGTCAGGTAGAGAAAGGGAATAGGGAGATTTGGAGGGATGGAATTGTAATTTTAAATAGAATAATCAGGGAGGAACTCTCTGAGAAAGTGATATTTGAGCAAAAGCCCAACGTTATACTACGTTATTGTAGTAACTCAAGAGAGAAATGATGATGGCTTGGATCAGTGGTAATGTGAAAGTGGTGAAAAGTGGTCAGATTTTCCAAATATTTTGAAGGTAGACACAATAGAATTTTCTGGAGCCATCTCTAAGGTTTTTGGCCTAAGCAACTGGAAGCATGGAGTTTCCATTTGCAGAGCTAGGGAAGAAAATTGGAGGAACAGATTTTTTTGGGTGAGGTGGGAGTCCATATTAAATTTGAGATGCCTTTTTGGATATCCAAGCGGAAGTGACTAATGGGCAGTTGATATAGATGTTCAGGCAGGATGTTCTGATAATGTGGGATTTGTTAGTATATATCACCTCCCATTGGCCCCAATTGGGAATCACTTTTCAACATGAGATTTGGAGGGGCCAAACATCCAAACCATATTAGATATTTAGAGCCACAAGACTGCATGAGATCACCAAGAGAGTGGGTATATAGAGAGAAAATAAGAGGTCCAAGAAGTAAGCCCTTAGGCATTAGAAAAGTGGAGGTAAAGGAAATGATGCAGGAGTAGCCAGTAAGATAAGAGGAGAACCAAGGCAGAGTGGTGGCCCATAAGCCTAGTGAGAAAATAGGTTTTCAGGAGGAGGGAGTGTTTAATTGTGTTAACTGGTATTGAGAAATTAAGCAAGATGGGGACTGAAAATTGACTATTGATTTTGCAATCTAGAAAGCATTGATAACATGACAAGAGCACTGTATTCAAGATATTGCTGTCCTCAAGATTTTATATCCCAATGCTAACCAGACAAAAAGAGCATATTTCAGCATGTCTAAATGTCGTCATATGGCCCAGTTGAAGTTTGGGTAAAGGTAAGACACATTTTAGTTTAGCTGAACTATAGTAAAACTTGCTTAGACAATCATCTGTGTTTGAAGATCTTCTGCATAAAAGGCTATATTTTCAGAACTCTGACTTGATTTCCTACAGGAACATTGCATTTTGAATCTGCATTTGGAGACCACCTGCTCCAGGCAACTACCGGTAGCTTTCAAAAGTGTACTGTTAGATAAAATAACCCCTTTGAAGAGGTTAACATCTCTGAATACACTGCAGCACTTTCATATGAGATAAAATGCTTAATAAGAAAATTTGGCCCTTGAAGCCCCTGAGGTTTGAAGATATGCCCAGAATCACTCAACCTCAGGGGTAGCGGGGTGCCTGCTGGTCATCCCAGGATGCCTTCAGCATCACTTTGTGGATCTGGATTAAAAGCCAAAACGCAGACTATTTTTTTTTCTCAGAAGCCTGACTCTTCAGCAATCCTATTCCTCAGAAATCACAAGCAACTAGTCAGCATGTGCAATTTGCTACATGATTTTAGAAACACCTGAAGACATGTATGACTTGGCTGTAGATTTGGAAGGGTGATTCTCATACAAGTGGTTGACATGTTATGAAGAGGGACAACATATACAGATGAAAAACAATTTTGACAAGCTTTAATGACAGATGGAATACAACGAGATGAAATTTAATAAGAATAAATGAGAGCCACTTGGATCTAAATGTGCCTTGTAAGTTTAGAGTAGGAGAAACAGGACTACGTGGCATCATGAGTGACAATGATACAAAATGATGCAATCACGAAGTGTGGCTGCCAAAAAGTCAATGTTGTATTAAGCTGAAAAACATAAGCACATTTTCTAGAATAAGGGAGGTTGTGGCCCTGTGTCACTGTATCATCAAGGACATACAGACATCACATCTTAGAAGGAATACAAAGAAGCAAATATATTCCAAAACCTGCAAGCAGCTGATGAAGTGTGGAAAACTATGTCATATGGCAAACATTAGAAGAAACAGGAAGTTTAGCCCGAATAGAAGTGATGGCTTTGATGGCCGAAGATACTTTTCTTCAGATATTAAGTATTCTCAAGTAGCAGGCAAGTTGAGATTTTCATTTGCATGTCTTCCAGAATTGCAACATGGTCAATGAAGGAAAGCTACAGGCAAATCATATTTTATTTCAATATAAGGAAATAACTTTTGGGCAATTTTTGGCAAGACAGAGTGAGTGATCTCTCTATTCCTGAAGGTATTTAAGCAGAGATTTGAGCCACTACATTTGGCAGGTACAATAGTGTTAAAAATTCCGTCATAGAATGAAGCCTCTTCTATATCTAGGAAACTACAATTCTAAGAGAATAAAATTCTCAAAATCTAGGTATATGGCTGAAGAGAAGAGACATGTAAATTGCTTTTGTAAGTCAAATATTCACCAGAGAGCAAGAGGTAGGTGATGTCATTTATTCTAAGTAGTAATATCTTGAATGCTCCATGTTCTTACAAACAGTCAACACAAGATATGCTGAGAGAACCTTATGGACACTTCTGTAAACTAAGCTTAGTTAAATCCTTTTCAGTACTCTTTCTGTTGATAAATTAGATTATTTTAAAAAGATCAACCTTGAGATATTGGAAATCACTATGTCTTTTGTGTTTAGTCAGCCACCAAAATCTTCTATCCAATCTCCTTGTTCATTACAGCGTGTACCATGGTTGGAAAACATTGAGCTAAATATGAGTGCAAGTCATGAATGGGCTGAAGTTTGCCTTTGTGCTTTTTAGTATGTCTCCTCCCTCTTGAATATACATGTACAGTAGCAGAAAGACTCCATGTTCTCATTACTGCTTAAAAGCATTGTTTGTAGTGGGAGTAAACTCTCCAGGAAACATTCCTTCTAGATAACAGAAAATACAGAATAGTTTAATTTTCTAATGAAGAGGTAATATGAAAAATATAATTTTCCTTAAATTTATACCAAGAATTTTCAGAAAGAAAAGATTTTACAGAACTCTCTCTCTGTAAAGTGATCTTTTGAAGTCAAACATTTTCATGAGGGTTAAACAGTTTCAAATAATGTTGGAGTATAAGGAAACTGGGAGAAGCGGGGGAAGGGTAACCAATTCAGGAACTTGGTTTGAAAAGTTCATGGTTTTCCAAGTTGGATAAAATAAAGAAAACCAGAACCCACTGGACTGGCATCTCTTGAATCTATTTACTAGGACAGTTAACATCACCATGGTCAGTATTAACCTTATGGGTCACTGCATCTGGAAGCCAGTCAAAATGAGTCAGCATCTGTTTGTTATTTTGTATATGTAGTAAAAATATTGCCTTAGGTCAATTAAATTTTTCTTCAAAAAGTGAACATTGCCTCAGCATAATTTCCCTTTTTCTCCTTAAAAAAATCACAAAACAACTTGCCATTCTACTTAAAATATTACGTACAGCTAGTAGATGCCATACTTCATTGTCAAACAGGTCCATGATTTGTAATGACTATTGTGGTCAGGGGGAAACCCTTGAGTAGTTTCTAATAATTCTTAGACATTTGAACATGGAATAGAGTATAGGCTAAGACTGGTTTTAATTTTACTTCATATAAAGCAGAGAAGACTACTTACCAGATGTTGTCCTACTTCAAGTTACTCTAAAATCTTGGGGTAAATTACAGCTGAACTTCAAAGCAGTCTGTTACAATTACATCTCAGACTTTTTCAATGTATGATAATAATAATAAAAAAAAACAGGTACGTATTGATCACTATCAACAGCAATCTCTAGAACAATGTTGGAAGTTAAGGATTTTGAAATACTTTTCAAACTGTGGTTTACTAGAGAAATTCGATCAATTAGTTTATGGCATCTACCAAGTTCTACTATTGTTACTTTCCACATTTTCTTTTCTTTTTTTTTCTTAAGACACCTAGTATATTATCTGTCTTCTCCAGGGCAGCCTTGGAAAAGATACCTTTGAATAAAGTTGATGTTTTATAAAAACACTATGCTTAATTATGATTTTGGAGCAAGTGTGAATTGCATAGAAAGGAGAGCAAGGAAATGAATATTTACCGAGAATTTGCTATGCACAAGATATCATGTTAGTATGTGGCACTGACAAATTTTATGTCTAAGGGTCCTTTTTTCAAAAGAATTATTTCTCTTTCAAATAAGATTTACATACATTTCTGATATGCAACCAATGGTAAAATTGCAAGAGCATTTTGCAAACACAAAGATGAAAACCTCTTTGGAAAGGAGCTATCTGCTTATTTTTTTTTTACTTCTCTGTATGAGTGAAACTTATGTCCTGTGAATCCACTCAAAATTAATTAATGCACATCACTGCCCTCTTCTTTTCTTTCTCATCAGTGGGCAACCAGCAGCAGAAGTCCTGTGGAGTCATTATGTTTCATAGCAGGCAGAAGCAGTGAGGCTGTTTTTGCTGTTTCTGCTCTGCTCTGAGGCACGGCACTCCCAGCCATAGCAGTCAGCTTTCTCTCACCTCTCAGACAGTTGGGGCCTTTATAGGGCCTGTGGCAGTCACACTGGTAACTCAGCCACAAGTTGATGCAGCGTCCTCTGCTTTGACAAGGTTGGCTTTCACACCAATCCTTTCTCACACAGCCTGCCTTGACATTTAATGATGACACAGATGAGATGTTCTCCAGGGTAATGTGATTCCAATCAATTTTAATGTCTTGGAGACAGCCTACAAACGAAGGTGTGGATGGTATATTATAGAAGTTAAGTAGAGCGACACCATCGCTGGTTGTCCCCACTGGTAAACCACCCAAAAAGGAGTTCTGAAAAGCACATATTGATGGATCACTTTCAAGTGGAGAAGGAGCTTTCGAGATGCATTTCTCCTTACAGGAGTCATCGATTAAGGTAAGGGTCACAGCCTCTGCAAATATTACCTCCACGAAATGCCACTCTCCGTCGCTGGTGTTGTGGGAAATGTACAGAAGCACCTTTGGCTGATTGTTGACCTGAATTGATAAGTGAATGTAGCCACTTAGCAGCTCCAGCTTCACAAACACATCCCTGTTGCCTCGGAAAAGTAGAAGAGCCATTGGCTGAACAGTCTGAAACCTGAGGGCTATGTTACAAACTGAGCCCTTGGTTGTCGCTGAGCCAGTTTTGACCCACAGGAAACCATCACCCTCAAATGAAAGTGTGGTTGCGATTTCACACAGGGACCCGGTGTAGCCAGATGGACACAGGCAGCCGAATCCATGCTGGCCATCTTGGAAGTGAGGGATGCATATTCCATTATTTAGGCATTGCTGATGGGTACAGCCCAGGAGAATATCAGAACAGTCCCTTCCTCCATAAAAAGTTCTAGAAAGGTTATCAAATGGGCAATGGCAAGTATAATTCCCAGGCAAGTTCTCACAAGTACCACCATTTTGGCAAGGGTTTGAAGAACATTCATTGACGTCTTCTTCACAGTGGATTCCTGTTACATAATAAAAAAGGGTTAAAATTAGATATATTCGCATCAAAAATAGAAGTTTCACATAATTTGCATGTATAATCTTGCAGAAGTGCATGGATAGCTCAGATTTAGAACTGTAATGGAGTAAAATGTAAACACTTATTAAGGGAAAGTAAAATCAATTCTATATTCCACATGTGTCGTGAAGAAAAAAGATGCAGTCATGGCAGGCTTTGTATTCTTCCTCTAGGAATAGATAATTTGCTAAACACTGTGATTGATTCCAGCTATCATTGTCAGATATACATGCAGCACTGAATATCATACAAACAAAAAAGAGAAAAAAGATCACTCTTGGCACTGATGTAAGATACAATTTATTTATTTCGGGACTTTTTTCTCAGACATTGTATATTCTGTCCTTGGCTGTAGATTTCACTCTATTCTACTTGGAAACAGTGATTTTGTCTTATATCTTGTTTATATTTCCCCATAATTCCTAAGAGTTTGCCAGAAATATAAATAGTCCAAACAGCTCTCACCATGAAGGGCTTCTAAGGTGAATGGAAGTCCCCGTTTCCTCCTTCCCTACAATGCTAGTGTAAATCATGATGTCTACACCATAACAAGCTCCTTTCCTGTTTATTATTTTAACTTCACTTTCTATTTTTGTTTTCTGATTCCAAGTCAAAAAATATATCTAATTAGGAAATTATTAGAATTCATTTTAAAAAAAGTAACACGAAGAAGTATAACACCTTTTAAAGGGGATGGCCGTTGCTTTTCCAGGGAGATTCAGATGAACAAAGAGTAACAATAAAAACTGGCATATGCATAGGACTTTATGGTTTCCCCAACATCTTCATTCAAATTATTATATTTGTGCTCACTACAATTTTCTGAGGTTTTCAAAGCAGATATTTTTAGTTCTCTTTCACAGAATAAATTGAGGTGTAGAAAGAGCGAAGTCTAAATTCCAAAGCACTTTTACCATCAGACCCTAAATTAACTAGTTTTGTTTTTGAGATGGAGTCTCGCTCTGTCACCTAGGGTGGAGTGCAGTAGTGTAATCTTGGCTCACTGCAAGTTCTGCCTCCCAGGTTCACACCATTCTCCTGCCTCAGCCTCCCGAGTAGCTGGGACTACAGGTGCCTGCCACCACGCCTGGCTAATTTTTTTTTTTTTTTTTGGTAGAGACGGGGTTTTACCACATTAGCCAGGATGGTCTCGATCTCCTGACCTCGTGATCCACTCGCCTCGGCCTCCCAAAGTGCTGGGATTACAGGTGCGAGCCACCACACCTGGCCTAAATTAGGTAAGTTTTAAAAATCCAACCTGGCCATGCTTGGTAGCTCATACCTGTAATCCCAGGAGGCCTAGTCGGGCAGATTGCTTGAGGCCAGGAGTTTCAGATCAGCCTGGCCAACACGGTGAAATCCTATCTTTACTAAAAATGCAAAAATTTGCCAAGCATGGTGGCGCATGCCTGTAATCCCAGCTACTCTGAAGGCTGAGGCAGGACAATCTCGAACTCGGGAGGTGAAGATTGCAGTGAGCCAAGATCACGCCACTGCTCTCCAGCCTGGGCGACAAAGCAAGACTCTTGTCTCAAAAAAAAAAAAGAAAAAAAATCCAATCGTACACACTGTTTTTTAATTAATAATTTAGTGTATTCTCATTTATTGTTTGTTATTAATATGCATGTCTTATTTTCCCATTTAACTCTATGCCCCAATGCGTGTTTTTAAAAATTTAATCCAAAGATTCCTATATTGATGATGTTGGATCAGAACCCCAGCTATACTGCTTGATCATGAGCAGGTTACACACACTTTCTGTATTTCAGCTTCCTCATCTATGAATGGAATTAATAATAGCATTTACATCACAAGGCTCTTTTAAAGATTAAACAAGATAAGACACGTAAATATTCATAACAGTGGTATATAACAAGTTCTCAATAAGTGTTGGCCATTACTAAAAAGTAGTAAGAAAGAATTATCCTCTAATGACAAAATTCAAATAGTACGGTAGTCATTGAGATAAACTATTTAGAAAGTGTGGGCATGTGTAATGCCCTGTAAATTGCATAATTTTATATGAGGGATTTACTTGGACAGCATATTAGTCTAGAATCTCATCAAATTGTGCTTTCCTTAATGGAAGGAAAATGTCTGTTTTATTCACCGATGTATGTCTAAAACAGCATAGTACCTGGCTTGTATTAGCTATTTAGTAATTAATTTTGGAATGAATGAATTCATTATGACCTTCCTAAAGTGATTGAATATTTTTATAATGCATTCAATCTGATTCAAAACCAAAGTGCTTTCTTTGTGTAAACTTTTAGATAAATGTATGCAATGTTAATCTTTGATAATCTACTGCCAGTTATGATCTACATATCTAGGCACTTGATTGGACTCTATTGTACTTACATTTTACTGTACTAGGATTACTTTCATACAAGCTTAGTCAATTCAAAAATATTTCAAGCTCTGTGAAAACAGTGGACATGTTATAATCTTACTTAGAGCCACCCACAACACCTGTACAGTGCTGAGGGTATGAATTATTAAATGTTTGATGAATAGAAAGAATAGAACTGAATGGAACTAATCTATTTGTTATATAGTCATCCTGGGAAGCACAGAAAACTGACATAGGAATTACAGGTAAACTACAGTATATTCTAAAGGGGTGTTCCAATATAAGTTTAATAAAACTGAATATGAAAAGTTGAAACTTTTGTACTAGAAGATATTTTACTTAAACTTGATTTTCAAAGCATTTTAAGAACAAAAAAAGTAATAACAAGTATTTGAGGGTAAAACTATTGAATAACTTATACAGCATAACAAAAGCAAAACATGATTTTTTCTCCCACCCTATCTTGAAACATATTTAACTGGGGAAGGGTTTCATTGCCTCTAGATAAAAATCTTCAGCAGACCCCAGGACTTTTCGGCTTACTATTTGATAGTAGTGTCACGATCTCTTAAAAAAAAACACCCACAGCAATTAGAATGGCCAGTCACATATAATGATCAAAAGTCTCAATGCAATTTAGAATAAAATCGTCTTTGCTAGGCTAACTTCAGGCTGTCTTGAAGGAGTATTCAGAAGCCTTCTTCCCTCTTTCTATTCTTCCATTGTCTCCACCCTCAGATTTATGTGTTCTGTCCCCTAGAAGACTGAAGTTGGTGTCAAAAAACGGGGGAAGGAGTACAGAAATTATTCACCTGACTGATACAATATGGTTCCATGGTTTCTGAGACTGGGAGGTGTTTAAAGTTGGTATTTGTTATAAGGGGCACTTACGAGTTCCTTGGAGCCCACTCTATTCCTCCAGCTGGGACTCACTCTAGAGTACTGTGAAGGCAGGCAGACATTGCCTCTCCTTTTACTGACGGCTCATATTTGCTTCTCCCTCAACCCCTTTGCTATTGGTTTATTGACGTTTACTCCTGCTTCCTTCTTTATCAACTCTTTCAGTAGGATTCTTTCACCTTCCAACAGAGGCCTATTGAGAAGAACTCTTCTTACACAAACTACCTACTAATGCTCCTACCACGGGTTCCCCATCTGAACCACAGGATTCATGTCCACTTAACCTGCAGTAGGAGGGGAGAGCATTTGCTTTCCAACACAGCACAGCAACAATTCTTTCTCTCTCTTTCCTGACGCCTTGGGTTAAGAGTCATCACACTTTTTCATCTTTAGATTCCTTAGGCAGGTGGAGAATCTAATCTAAGTTGCCCGTTCCTTCCCTCCCACCAACTTCAGATGACACTGGAACACTCCTAGAAGCTATGGTCACTCTGGTTTAGAAAGTAGCATCTAGCCCTCAATTTGAGGGGTAAGGTTCAACTCACAATACAGCAGCAAGCCTCTCCAATGAAATCTCCTTGTAGATCCACTCCTTCAAATTGCCTCTGAAGAATTTTCACATACCCCTGACATAAATATAAACCTTTTGGCCAGACGAAGTGGCTCACGCCTGCAATCCCAGAACTTTGGAGGCCAAGGAGGGTGGATCACGAGGTCAGGAGTTTGAGACCAGCCTGACCAATATGGTAAAACCCCATCTCTACTAAAAATACAAAACTTAGCCAGGCATGGTGGTGTGGGCCTGTAATCCCAGCTACTCAGGAGGCTGAGGCAGGAGAATTGCTTGAATCTGAGAGGTGGAGGTTGCAGTGAGCCGAGATTGTGCCACTGTACTCCAGCCTGGGCAACAGAGCAAGACTCTGTCTCAAAATAAATAAATAAATAAATAAATAAATAAGTAAATAAAATAAAATAAAAAATAAAAAAAGTATAAACCGTTCAAAAACCTGAAGTCTGTTATCTGTATTTACTTTAACATCCTGTGTTTTTATTTATTTCATAATTCACTTTGGTACCTGACAGCAACCATATCTTGATCCCTTAGTTGAAATTTCAATTGACCATTTTCTCAATTTATAGAATAGCTACTCTATGATGTACTCTCAGAGTACTCTCAGAATACAAACTAGAAGACGTAGACCTAGCCTGAATGTACTTACAATATAATGGAAGGACAAAATATATATTTATGGAAATGCATTGTACATAGTAGGTTCCCAGTAGATATCGATAATATATGAGAATCAAACTCAGGCAACATTAGAGTGTACTTAGGAAAGTTTCAGAGAAAGGACTTTGAATGATAGATAATGAAACACCTTTAGATATGAAATCTTCATATTAAGTCAAATCAATAAATATCGATTATATATCTATCATGTATAAAATATTGTGGATAACATGAAGTTTGAACTAGTCCCTGTCCTCAATGAATTTAATAAAGGAAAACTAAGCCAAATTTGTGAAGATGAAGATAATACTGAAGAGATTTCACCAGACAGTATACAATAGATTCTAAGTTAATTGTATTGGCAGTAGCTGCTGCAGAGCCTCCAGAGAAAGGTATCTCTTCAGACCTGGCTGGGAAGGTCTTACAGAGATAGAATTTAACGTAGGTTTTCAAATATAGA